CTTTAGTTATATCCCTGTAGTTCCAAGATACGAATTTCTTTTTCTTTTAGCTAAACACATTATCTAATTATTTAAATTTAACCCATACTTAAATGTGTTAAATGCTAAATCAGTTGTAGTAAAAATTACGTTATTATATAACAACAAACGTATATTTACAGATTATTAGTTTGGAATAATGTTTTTTTTTTGCTATATCAAACCCGATATAGTACCTCCATTATATAAGAACATGTCCCATATTAATACGTTATTAGTTTGGTATAATGTTTTGTTCTATATGTCAAATCCGATTAAAATATCGCTCCTCATTATACAAAGAATTAATATTCACAGATTATTAATTTGGAATAACATATTTCCTGTATATTAAATCCATAATTAATTTCCATAATTCACAACTCTCTCTCTCTCTCTCTCTCTCTCTCTCTCTCTCTCTTTCCTTCTCTTTCTCGCTTTGATATATTTAATATTTGATATAATCCCGTGTAATACTTGTAATACATGTGTGTTAATACTCGTAAGACGACATTGAGACGACTTTCTTAGCGAAACTTTCAAATCAGTGTGTAATTTTTCGTCAACTCTGTTTTGCATCAATCGATTGTGACGTTTTGCTTCGATCTATATGACGTGTTAAATGCACGTCGTTTTCTGCTCGCGGCACGCATTTTACAGTCACACAAGTTCCCGAGGCGATTTCCAATTTGTGATAAAGCGCTGGTCCATTTGCAACTTGATGGAGATATTCTGGATTCGAATTGGCGTGTTGTTCCGATCTATCCTTTTTTCGTGCGAATTTTTTGACGTTGAGAATTCGTTATAATAAAAATCCCTTCCGCCGTTCAATATTCGCAGGATATATGTTCGCCGAAGAGAAAATTTCATTATTGCTTTTCGATGTAATCATGTTCAGAGTATGTGGGTCGTGGGTCAAATATGTTAAAGTGAAGGTATGATCTCGGGGCACAAAGTTAATACATAGATAGTGCTTAATGCTAGAGAGTTTTTTAGTTCATTCCGAGATCACATTACTTGAGCACACTTTATCCGATAAACATCCTGAGAATGTCTTTAGAACATAGGGACTTCTTCTGAACGTTTTTAGGACGTCTCTTTGAGATCTGTGTTTTATGCGTTAATTTCGTATTTTTATCGTGGTTTTTATTGCTGTTTTTATCTACATTTTCAGATCATTAACGTTCTTTCGATGCTAATTAAAAACCTACCTATTCTACTAACAGCAAATACATCATTTATTAATCCTTAAAGTACATCTTTGATAATTATTTTTAATTGATGTATGTGTGTGTGTGTGTGTGTGTATATATGTGCGTGTGTATGTGTGTATGTGTGTGTGTGTGTGTGTATATGTGTGCGTGTGCGTATGTGTGTGCTACCTGTAGTAAACTTTTTATAAACATTTAAATTTTACAGGACAGCTATTATAGTATAATTTAAAACATTTAACACAAATGCATCATGGATTATTAAATTTATTAAGAGAGTATATTCAGTTAGAAATTTGAAAATATCGATTTTTCAAAAATCACATTTTCTTAAAATATACAATGTTAGAAATATTCCCTGAAAATTTCAAGTTAATCCGTTGTATTTTCACGACGGAGATATACGATCTTGAGTATCGAAGCTTCTAGCAGTCTAGCGTAAAGGAAAGAAGGAAAGAATACATAGAAGGAAAGATGTCATCGGCAATAACAAATTGATATTTTAGAAGCATCAACTTTAAGAGAGGATGTACTATATAGTCCTGGAATAGATGACTTTGTGTAAATTGAAAAATTTTTTATTTAATAGTAAACTGTACTTGAAACTTTAAACGCATTTTTTTCAAAACTATGTTTTCAAAATCGATGACCAAAATATTTTAAAAATTGCACCAACCAATCTGAAATTTTACATGCTTTCTTTAGACATGTAAACCTAGTCTTTAATTAAAAGATTTTTTTCCAATGCGTTTTTTTTTAATAGACGAGAAATGTCCATTTTTTAAAAATGAAAATTGAAAGTTTATCTTTGAATAGCCGCCATTTTGTTGTACTTCAATTTTTCGAAATATCGAACGATCAAAGATTAGATAAATTCATATATTAATTAAATCTTTCGAATTTTTTCATTTCAGATAACCTTCTGAATAGTGGTCACCGCAAAACGCGTTTTGGAAAACAGTTTTCCGGACACTAACTATAACTTATTTATTTATTAATATTTTTACATTAAAAAAAAATGAAAATTTTGTCAAAGTAGGTTCTTTCGAACATAAAACCTTTCATATAAATATGTGCATATATTTTCCTGAAAAAAATTCTCGAAGATTCATCTTTTTTTGATCTCCTAACTGAGTATATCCCCTTAATAAAAGAGATAAGTAGATTATTAATTAACTTTCTATTATTAAAAATTCATAAGTGAGCTTTCTGCACATACATATTTTTTATTTACTAAATTTTCTTTTTCTAAGCGATTATTTTCTCAAAGCTTAATATGTTTCAAATCTATCATTTGATCGATCAACTTATGATACAATGGCTTTAATCTCTCGTATTCTATAATTTATAAATTCATTTTATTAATTTGTAAAAATGATATTTGGTCGGTTATGCCATATCGGGTATACTTAAATCACGACATCGTAAGTCGATCATGAATCACAGAGTTTTAATCGCCCTGTGCACATTATAAGCAAACGCGTTATATGTTCCGGACACATATAAGGCTGCATTCTCGCGTGCAATAACCTGGATCGATCGGCGATCTGCACCCGGCTACCTAGAGATCTATCGCGGCGCGAAGGGTGGAAATTCGGCAAGGAACGAGCGGATTAATCGCGATAATTCCGCTCGAACAACGCCGAGATTCGCCGAGAAATTAAAACTTTCACGAGGACCCGTTATCGCCCTTTCGCACCGACTTCCTGTCGGCTGCACGCACGCGCGTATATCGAATCGCCGTCGTTCACGCGATCAGCTTTTCTTGCTGTTGGAAAGACCCTCAAAAAGGCCTTGCAAACTCTGGAAGTACAATCCTACACGTAATGCAAACACGGTAAAGATTTAAAAGTTGACCTATTCACATGCTTCATAAATTAAAAGAAATAACAATAGAATACAAATCCACCAGGAAGAAATTACATCATAACATTAAATCATATGTATTATTACAAATTTAAATCGGATATTACATTTTTGTCGTCCTGTACTTTAATGCACCATGTTATAAACTTTCAAAGTAATAGCAATCTACAAGGTGTCTTATAATGAATAAATAGAACAGGCTAAATTGAATCAAAAAGTTCTGAACCATTTTATGATTTTCATAATAATTAATGAGATAACAATTAATTCTTTAATGTTGTCAAAATTTATTTTAAATAGTGAAACAATATTATTAAAAGATTTTTGAAATAGTAAAAAATTTATACTAAATATAACAATATGTGCTGAGGTATCCCGGATAAATAATAAAGGGTTAATGAAATACTAATAAATAATAATTTATAAAGATTCCCAAATGAGCAGTCGTTTGTGTAAAGAAATAACTCAACTTTACACGTGTTCGTGGTTACTAGGAGCTCGGCAAGCTGCTTTGAAGTAGAGATTCTCTAATCAGATTGGCTTTCTAATAAGAGAATCACTTTTTGATTAGGTCAACATTTTTCGAGTAAGCTTTTAAGTGATGACTAACTGCAAGAATGACAGCTATCAAGTTTTAATACATTACATATTAAAGCGAGAGAGGTAGAAGTCACCAACTTGCATAACATTCACTTGCACAGTCCTCCACGTTAGCATAGCAAAGGCTTACTCTGATATGTACATGTATAGATCTCACTACTAGCACCACAGTATATAGAGTGAGATAATATCTTATCTCACTTGCAAGATGTTGCCACGTTAAATGATACGCTCTTATGAGCCAGTCTCCGATTAGAAGAGCTCTATTTAGAAGTGTGCTCTATATATGAACGGTATTGGCTTCGCAGGAGCGACATCATGTAAATTGTTATGTCATTTGTAAAGCACACCTCCAAACATCTCGTCGCGATCCTAGCAATCATATACGCCTGTAAGATTGACCTGTTTTTTTATGCAAATGCATATTTATTCGGGGATTTTCATTAATTATTATCTCATTAAAATCTTTTAAGAATATTATAAAATTAGTCAAAAATTGATCGACTTTATATAATAAGTAAATCAAATTTATTTTAATTTAATGATCTTGGCTGAAGAATCAAACTTACTATTAGTAAATTCAGAATATATTTTAAATAAATTTAATGCTTGTAATGAATTTGCGAATATATGAACTTTTGTATAAAAATATTTAAAACAAAATAATTGTTACTTGCGTACAGTATTTTTCTTTGCGTAATGTTGGGAAATTAGAATCATACATCTCACGCAAGTAACAAATTATTTAAAAAAATACTATGCATACATAATATAAGATTAATCATTGCGAAGTTTGCAAAATGATACTTCTTGATTTAGTTTAATCCGCTTTACTGCTTCACGCGAGTTATGAGACATCCTGCATCATGTTAGATGTGATATCATATTAGATTCAAAATATTATATCATTTATATTGAATAAAAAAGTACTTGTAGAGTAAGATAATTAAGAAGATAACGAATAAAGATATAAATATTTCTATTTAAGTATAAGTCTTGTACATACATATTTTAGATCAATACATACGTTGTAATATACAAAGTTTTAAAAATGCAGCGCTCATAGTACGTCGCGTTAAGTTCAGAATGTGTTAATGTAGTTTTTAAAAAAGTAATGACTGAAACTCTATTTACTCGAGGCTTTGGAAAAGGTAATAAATAGAATAATAAGATTCTGTCTCTCTTAAGTGTGTCTTCCTTTGTCTCGCGGTTTCTCAAAAATTTTTGTGGCTTTATTTAGCTCTCGCACCAAGGTATTCAATTTTCTCCATGCAGTGCGAAAAGGTCCATTCGAGATTCGCTTACCTTGACGCGTAGCAGGTGTTGCAGACTTTGAGCCTGGCTGCTATTTAAGGGTGGATTGTCGGTCCCGAGTCGTGCCACTGCGATCACGTTTTCTCGGGTCGCATTGTACAAGAAGAGTGTGCATACTGTCTGTAAATGGAAGATGCGGGAGAGTTGATCTGAGAAGGTAGATACGTACACTGGCGCGTCATTCATCGCTACAATTATGGCGACTTTATTAAATTCCGCGCAGCCCGATTTAGTTTTTAATCGACGCGCAGTTTGACGAGTCATTACATTTCTTATTGACATTTCTCATTATCGGGATTTCACGCGCCGATCGGAGATGCTGCGCATTAATTGCATTCTGGGAATTTCACAGAACGCTTTCCTTCGCCGCCGAAACGACGCGAGATGTAATAAACCTCGGAATAATCGACTGATTTTAAATTCTTTTCTGGGTCATTGAATTTGTGGCAGATTGTGCCAAGACAATCTTTCGATTTTGGAATTTAAGCGAAATTTCCATCGAGCTGTAAGCCGCGCGTACGGTGTTAATCAAGTGACAATTTCAAAGTGTCATCTAGTCGAGATTATAACGATCAATAGGAACAATGTGACGGCAACGCCTCACCTGATTATTGACTTCCTTTCTCATGAAATTATCGAGAGATGACACCGCGTCCAGCACGGTCACATTGTTGTACTGCTTCAATAAGGTCTCATCCTTCTCGCTGTATCCCAGGAACATGAAAACCCCGTGCGGTATACTATATGTGTCTGCGCAAATAATACAATGCTGATTATATTGTGAGAAGAGAAATCGTTTTCTGTCGGATTACTTGAAAATCGTCGTAAAATCAAACCACGGTCGACTTCAGAAAAAAAAGAGAAAAGACATTTATTAAGTATTTTAATGTAAACATATAAAACGTAGTAGCAGAAGCCCCATTTATTAATATAAGTATTTTTTTATATTTCTTGAATTGGTTATTATAAAAACATTCCTAAATTTTGTCTGTACAAGAAAAAATATGGAATAAGATATTTCTATTAAACTTTAATTAATTAATTAATTTTATAAAGCAAACAAAACTATAATCTCATAATTATCTATATTATAGCTTATAAAAATAGCATTTAAGTCATTGGTTTGTAGAGAGTTCAATGAAAGTGTTGTTTAAATAATCTACTGTAATTTAATGGCACCATAATTATCTGAGAGATAATTACTCACCGGGCGAAGGCCGCATGCATATAAAGCCGCCGCTATAACAAAGGCAAGGACCTCGATGCGCTTGGTAGGCTGGTGCTTCATGATTGTAGAAAGCGAAATCTGTCTTACAGGGTAACGTTTCGACGCACAAGGTATTGCAAACGAGTTGTTCACCTTCAGCACAGACACACAGTTCTGAGCATTCGGGCTCGTCTTCACGATAAAGCTGCGTAAATAAAATACGTTCCAATCAATATTTATACCCATATATATTTCAAAAATGACAGCCACAAGTATAAAAATTATTGAAGTATAAAAATTGTTACTTATTATAAGTATATAAATAAGTTTCGCAATTTTTTTCTATGAAAACACGTTCGTGATGTTGAATCCACGTATTTTATGTAAACTATTGCATATAAATAAAAATTTATTGACATGATATCCACATAAATGTAACGTCGTAATTTTATTACACAATCGAAATAAATTTTCCTCGAAGTTTCAACATGAATTTTACATAGATACTTTCATATAGATTTTAATTTACATACATATATAATCCACGTAGAATTAATGATGAAATATAATGGGAATAGAACTAGAAGATAATAATACACATGGAATTCATGTGAATAAATTTGTATCAATTTTTATTCTATGCAAACCATGTCGAAATTTTGATATTTTGATAACATGTCATTCATAACACATTACATATGGATATCATTTTAAAGAATTTTTGTCCACGTAATTCACGTAAAATACATGAATAACGTTGACATCACGAGTCTATTCTCATCAAGAAGATAAAAAAGAATAAATGTTTATATAAAAATGTATTGTACTATTTTTGTGCTTTGAATTCAATTCTGAAGTACGCTCACGTTATAAAACATCTTATAGGTGATGTACTGACATATACTGTCAGTACTAAAAATCACGAAATTTATCTAACAGTAAAAATTGATTCATTTGTGATTTTTATTTTTAAGAGATGTTCTTTGCTGTTTGTTTTTATCATTATTAAAGATATATTTGTAATCAATTTGATTGAATATCGTGTTTAATCTGTTTCTTTATTCTAAATTAAAACAGCATTTGTTCAATCTGAGAGGATATTAATAAATTAATTCTAAAAAGAATAAATGTTTAAAATAAATGTTTTAAATATAAGGCTTCCAAAATGCTTTATTAAAATAAAGAATTTAAATGTGTGACTTCTTAAAATAATAAAATCTGGAATAACAAAATTTTTTTATGAAAAAGAAAATTTCAAAATAAATGGAAAAAAGGAAAATTTTGGAAGAGAACAAGAGAAATATCGTATCACTTTGATGGAAATATTACTTTGAGAATTGTAGAAATGAATTAATTCACATTTTGACACATGAAAGTTAAAAATAAAAATGTGTTATTTAATTCAAAGAATTGGATTACCATTTCTTCTTTAATATCTGATAAGTGTAAGTCTCACAATTTATTCTGGTTGCTTGAGTGACGGTTTTATTCACGATAAAAATAGTGAAGCAGCCAAAGCAGCATTTTCCCAGAGTTCATTTCCAATTAAATTAATAAAAATGTAGATTTTCTAACTATGAATTGTTATATCAAATTCAAAATACAGGATAGACAATCTTACTAATGGAAAAATAATTGTGCAAAAATTTAAATACGTATTTGTTAGCACTATTTAAAATTAACCCTGGAAACTTATTTATACACTCAGTATGTGTATATAAAGAATTATATATAAAAGGAATAATGTATTGTATAGAGCATCCCCAATATATGACACTAATTTCTATCTAAATATCACATTTTAAATTACAACAAAAAATTATTATCTATGTATATATTTATCTTTATCTATATATAATATATTTTCTTCAGGTAACAATTTTTATTTAATTCATTAATCGACAAATTTGTCAAAATAGAATCTAGTAAAGATAAAAAAAAATAATTAACATTAAATGCCATAGTTATTTTTCTTGATACAATTAATTAAGGCTTTTTAAGTTATTCTTAGAAATTCAGGAAATTTCTCATCAATAATAAGAGCTAAAGAGATACATCGCGAAGTCGTGAAGAAGTCGTGGGCGATTTCCTGTTCTTTCCCTCTTCCGTTTCTTTACAGTAAAAATTCGCTACTATGCACTGTGCAGTAAATATCCGATTTTCGCTGACACCCTCGCCCACGCTTTCTAGTATGACGTTCACGAAAAGGTTTCACAAAATCCATGCTTTTTCTTTTTTGTCTTGCGAGTATCGGCTCTTGAGGGTGATGGCAGTGAGCGCTTTGCGTCGCGACGGCGATCGCGAGAGACTTGGGAGATTGCGAGTGACTCACCCTTTTGCCCTTGCCTTCCCTTATGTATTGCTGACTGTGTGTATTCGACCTTTGAACCACGCAGAAGCCTACAAAGAGAGTGACGTGAGAAGCTGTCTTTTTCGCCAGTTTATTTCTCCAGTCCTTTATAAACTTCTTTTTCCAACGTATCTCACCCGGAGGCGATCTATCTAATTTGCTTCTCGATGTGAAAGAGATTAAAAATTCTTTTTTTTTAAGCTACTGGTAAATAAACGAAGTTTTATTTATAAAAAATGTAATAAACAGTTTTATTTACAAAAAATCAGTTTGCTTAAATTAAAAAATAATAATATAGGATACATAGAATGTATAAGACATATAAATATGATAAAAAAGAATTAGAAACAAGAATTTGAAAATTTAAAATTTTTTAAAATCTTTTAAAAAATAAATATCTGCTAAAAAATTAGCACTATGAAAATATGATGATATATGTATAAACCTTAGCATTGTAATAAAATAGTGAACTTTCAAAGATATCACGATAAATTCAATTTTCAGTAATAAATATATAATAACCAATTAAGTTCCAGATAAAATTGTTGTTACGATAAAATTTACGAGGAACAAGTTTATATTACGTATAAAATGTATTTCAGAGTTTAATTTGTAAAAATCGTCTATTTTTTAGTGTTAGCTATTTCAATATTTCCATACTTTTAAAAATCAAACTGAAAAAGTAATTAATAATTTGTCAGTAGAATGCTCGATATAATCCCGACAGAATCAAGGGATATTACATAGCAAATGTATTATGCACCAATTGTATTACGTAACAAATTAATTATATTACATAGAAAATTGATAATCATTGAATACGTTTGTACTCTATCCACTCACGTGGTGTCGGCGTGGTAGTTGTGGTGGTGCTCGGAGTGGTGCTTATAGTGGTGGTTGTGATTTCCCAAGTTTCCGTGGGTTCGGTGGTCGGCCACCTCGTCACTTCCGGTATTTGATTATCTTCCACTTGTTCGACTGCGGTGGTCGCCGTCGTGCTCGCCGGTGATCTCGTCGTTGATGCGACGGCCGCCGTCGTTGTCTTCGCTGTTGTCGTTCGCGAATGATGGTGCTTTCTACGCGCGTGGTAGTCCTTCTGCGACTCCACTGTAATCAGAAGAATAACCCTCTCAAAACGATGTGAGAACGAAATTGAATAAGGATGCGGTCCGATTCATGCTCACAGTGCTCTTGGAATCATTTCATTCTTGTTGTTATCAAACAAGGACAAACACTCATGAGCATTGTAAACGAATCAGACTACAACTTAAGAATTACATTGAAAGGTAATATACAAATAACAGATTTTTTACTTAAAATGAAAACATATCTGATAGCAACTATAAAGGTGACGAGTTTTATATATATATGTAGAATTAATGTACATATTTTATAGTTGCAATAATTATAAAATAGATTATTTAATAATGTACATTAATGTTACATATAAAACTTATCTGTTTATCCCCTCTATTACTTAGAGAAATTTCCCTTTCCTTTTGTTAGTCTTTCTATTAATTGTCTGACAGAATTTCCTGGTGGAAATGCTTTCGATTGTTAATTTAATTATTTTCTTTCGTCATTCATAATTGCTAGCAGACAATACAGTTAATTAACATCTCCATATATTTTATGAGCAACGAAGGCAAAGCCATTAATTAATGAATTTTCATTGAGATCTTTTAGATATTCCATTAGGAATTGGATCTTCTGTGTACTCAGAACATCATGATTTTCTTTCGAATCTTTTCTTATGGGCATAATTTGATGAAAAGTTTAACGGGCGTTAAATTGTTTGTGGAAATCATTTGCGACGAGTAATTTTAGCAACAAAGACGAGAAGATTATTATAACATGGATCAAATATAAATGTAAATTTAAGGAACTTTTGGAATTAATGGATGAGAGCGTTTGCTTAAGTCTCAAAAAATGTATTTTTACGTTACAATTATTTTAAATAGAGTTATAAATGTAATCGTTTTAATTTAAATACTGAAGATGACCCAACAAAATGGCCGAAACGTCAATTATAATAAGATATACGTTTAAACAGGAAATAAGGTATTTATTTTCTGTTTGTGATGTTTACATTAACGATGTTTAAATAAACGTGTAACCAATTAATTGAAATAATTCTCCTTAGACATTTATAATTGTAATTTATAAAGATTATTTTCGCGATTGATTTATATGCTCCTTGTTATTATTATTATTCATTTAGAAAGCCGTCGATTAAATTTCATAACTATTGCAGAACTTCTTCGCAAAAATTATTCACGATTCTATGTTTTATGATTACCCATGCTGGGATGTGCTTTCACTTTCCGTCTATAACTTACAACATTTCACGGCACAATAATAAGAACAAAAAAACTGCCGACTTGAATCGGAATCGTCGCCTCGGAGTAACTTGGGCTTAATACTTTCTCCCTCACTGTCGTGCCGCGCACCAGGAAACGGACGTGTGGCCGCAAATAACAACCGCTAAGCAATATAAAGTGCCGAACGGAGAGCCTGTAAAATTGCAGTTGAATGTACACGTGTAGTCATCCGACGTGGAAGTATGAAAGTATCGGGAAAGTCCCGGTCCCGTATCGCCGGCGGCGCAGCTGCTGTGAAATATTTCAGCCTCCGTGGGGCTCCGGGGTGATTACACTTTCAAGGGGCACCGCATGCCTCTCCTCTCGCGAGACGCGTACAGCAATAATAGGGAACATAAGATGCGCGTAATAATATTTTACGAGCTGCAGCGACGACTGCAACTTTTATTTTCACGAAATAGATTATGTTTATAAATAGTATTATATTTATAAATACGCCACAAAACGGCGATGACTGAGTCTTCTATTTTAAAACAAATTGTATATCTCAATAGAATTTGCAATAAGGATCTTAAGGATTTAATTACAAATTATTCAATGTCAAATTATAAACTAGAAATAACTAAATAAGACATTTACTTTTTACATTTATCATTAAACATGTATTTTAAACGATTGATTAAATAATTCTCTTTACCTCTGGAATAATTTAAAAAAGAATGATACACTTAGGGAAAAGACTAGATTTGCGATATGGTGATCTGTGCAACTACATGGTGATGCCACGCGCAGAATTGTAATTACATTGGTCGAACAAACGACACAGATTAGCTCTTATCGATCTTTCTCGACTTCGTTGAGTTGTAAAGCATGGCAAATGCAATGGACTGCATTCAGTCGGTAGATAAGTCATTTAGATACGAAGAAATTGCATCTCCTACTGCGTTTTAGAAGTGTATCATGCCGAGCGCATCGGCAAAATATCATAGAACTCTGTCTGTTCTAATTATGTACTATAATGTTTATATATTCGGTGAACAGAATAGAAATTAGCACTAAAGTAAATTCTTTAGTAATTTTCCAGTCGAATTTTTGTAATTTTCTAATTTGTCATTAATGAATATTTTAGTAAATTAGAAGTTAAATATAATTGTAAAAGTTAAAATCATATTAGTTAAAAAAGAATAAGCTCTTGTTAAATTTTATTATAGTGTTTTAAGAACTGTTGAGATGAGCTGCAAGAATATGTAATGAAAAATGAGTTTTCATTTTAAAAAATTTATTTGATCTTAACGATGTTAAATACATTCTTTTAAATCTTACAACTTTTATCGAAGACATTTTTCTAAAAAAATGCACACTTTCCGAGATATTAGACTATTTCTAAATTTTTACTGGCTTTGCAGATGTGTTCTTGGTAGCTTCCTCTAACATTACTGCAAATGCTGTTTGATCAAAATTGGTGATGAGCAGAACGCAGCCTTTCCTTGCAAGTTTAATTTACTAATCTAATTTATTGAAATGATCAACAATAATAAGTTAGAAAATTACAAAAATCTATTAGATCAAAATTATTAATATAAGATCATATTTTGTTACTTAAATATTTTATATTCATTTGCTGTAAATAATAACAAATAAATATATCCTTTATGCGTAATAAATAAATGCAAAAAGAATTTATTGCAAAATGCCGTTTAATGAAAAATGGAATACCGTCACATCGTTCTTTATGCTGATAGAATTGTGTGAGATACACATTTGTGAAGATCGATCGAACATCGGAACAGTATATTATCAGTCTATATTAATTAACATTCCAATATCAGATAGTGTGCAGCTTGCAATTATTTTTATTTAATCCGGATGATTCAATATCGATTTCGAGATTACCGCGTTTTCAAATAACTTGCTTGAAGTGTACCTGCTATTTCCAAAGTAGGTTAACTGTTTTAAAGAATAATAGTTATTTCTTTTGTAGCAGTCTTTATTTTAGTCTCAAAAAAGTATACCAATAATATTGTATTGCTTTATTGTCTTTCATATATTTTTATCGTACTTTTATAAGGTGAAATTTTACAATAACCTTGAACATGTTTCTTACAACATACCTATTATTTCCTATAATTTTTTTTCTCTGTACCAGTTGTCTATCAAAGAACAATGAATCGCAAAGCGATTCCTAACTTTCCTAATCGAAATTGTTGTTACCGAGTCCTTAACGCGAGTAAGTAATGAATGTCCCAGAATTTTCCGCTTACCTACGCAAGGATTCACCCAGAGAAGCCGCTGCCAACCCAGACAGCCATATAGCTGGTTAAGTTCGGTGCCCTTACAAGCGCAATTAGTATGAAGTTCAGTACCCAAAATGCCCAGCATCGCTTTTCTGCACTCGGAGGTTGGTCCGGCGCATTTCTTCGTCATGCTGTCGACCGCGCAACTCTGTTCGTAATACTCTAGTCTAAGTCTAGAAAAATAAAGATACCAGGATATCCATTACATAGAATAGATGATCAATTAAGTTTGGAGTGGTTTTTTTAAAGGAAATAAAATTAAAAATTCTTGAAATATTATATAATTCATTTTGAAAGATAAATCAAAGTAAACTGCATAATACTTCAAGAATTTTTTATTTTATTTTTTTTTATAAGAGCTGCCAAAAAAATTCTTAAAATTATGACAAAATTAGTATGTCGAACCCTGTAATAATTACTCGTAAGTGGCGCAAAGATTGTTTATTATTGATATGCATAGTCAATTATATTTAGAAAATTATTATGGGTATATTTAATAGAATAAGGTAGTACAATTTCGAATATGATACAATTCTAAATGAAATAAAATTTGAATGTAATTTTCGAGGTTTTAAATTTGATTTTTTTCTATTTAGTACTTTTTAGTACTCTTTACACAATCGAGAGTTACTAAACTTTAACCTCAAAATTAGATTTAAACTTTATTTTGTTCAAAATTGTACTTACGCTAATTTTTTAAATATAATTATACATCAATGCGAATTACATATTAATCATAAATATTTTCGTGCTAATTACGCGTAATCATTGTTGCATTCGACAAGCCAGTTTTACAATAATGTCAAAACATATATATTTATCCGCATTAAAAGAAAATTAATTTACTAAATGCCAAAAAGCAGATAATAATATTTACTAATTTCTTCTAACAGTAAACAAAGTGGAAAGACTGATGTTCGTATATTAATTAAACATGGACTTTCTATTGAAACATCAATAATCATCTGTAAATATAAATGACGGTCTAATAAATTAAATATACAACAGATTTAATTGACTAATTGATTGATTTTCTAGATAATTTCTTTAATTAAAAAGGTATTCTAAAGTATCTTTGGGATTAATAATTATAAGTGATGCTGTAACAATCATTGAATTGTATACCTGTGTGACCATTACATAGTGATATTAATATTAGATGATCAAAAGGGCTAATATTGTAACAATGACCAATCGCGGATATTCTCATTGATCACAGGGATTGTTAATGTGGCAAATAAATATATACATATAATATGGCTAATAAATATATACATAAATATTAATATGATAAAACATGAGCTTTGTTTCTACATAGAAGCGTTTCAATTACAGTATTTAATGTTTTAATTATAACAATTTGCATAATTGATCAAAATTAAAACGTGCATATTTTTACATAAAAAAATTATTATTTTGTAAATTTCTTTATTTTCGTTTACTTTATGATTGAGTTAAGTTTTTCATTATTTGACATTATACATAAATTTTTTTTTTATTTTGTTAAATGTATTATACATATAGAATAATAATGTTTAATACTTTAAATAATAAGTAGAAACGCATTGTTTATTTTAAAATAAATTTATTTAGCATTCTATGAGATTTAATATCGTAAATTTATTTTATTTTTTATAATTAGATTTAGAAACACGCATGCAAATTCAATTTCTAATCTGAATCAATCATGATTTCTCAATAAGATCATAGCGTAGATACTATTAAACTACATTTGTATTAAACGTAGAAATCAATGTTTTTCATTTATATTTAAAATAAAGGTAATGACGGAGTTAAATTAGTCAAACAAGTGTCTAAATTCAAAAAGCACTGAAGTTCATTAGCGAAGTTTTTAACACTGTTTGCATTGAATAAATAATAAATAGATAAACGTACAATCGATAGCGTAAAAGTTGTTACACACACACACACACACACACACACACACACACACACAATAAAAATTTTATTCTTCACATAACTTTTAATAAGTCGTTCAATTACGAGATGTTACTGTTATACATCTTACATATTGCATTAAAAGCCAAAAAACTATATCAAATAAAGTTCTAAATAAAAAAGGTAATAATAGTTTGTATACTAATAGTAGTCAAGTAGTGAAATATTTAAAAATAAAAGAAATATTATTAATAATTTAACCAAAATGATTTAATTAATCATGGTACTCAGAGCAATGTGTTGATTCTGTTAATTGCAAGTTCCGTGATTTATTTGCAAACAACTGTTATTATAAAAATAAATAGACGCATTTAAGCAATCATTAAAAAAGTATTTAAATAAATACTATAGAGAGACTTCGAAGTACGCAAATGCATTTTGACTCACAAAGCGTCTGCGGCAATTAATCGTTTTTTCCAAGTTGCATATAGATACCTCTAAATAGCAAAATTAAAAATGGATTCGTTCATCCTCGGCGATAAATCAATTAAAGCGCTGACCATGCATACGTACGTGCGTGCATGCACGCGTGTTTTAATTTAATCGATCAGCGACGCGCTTGCACACGTTCCATCGCTCACAATTGCACCTCCTTTTCGTCCATTTCAATCTCCCGTTACCCACGTTATTTTTTTGAACGTATTTATTAACGAGAAGTGCATTTTACTTCTGCACATAATATTTCAATTTTCGTTATTGAATTTGAAATTTTATCATTAAATAAGAGATACAATAACTGCATAATTTGTGACATATCCAATAATGTTCATGAACAGTGAAAAATATACAATAAAAGTTTGCAAACAATTTCAATAATTTCAAAATTGATTAATTTTTTTGTACTAAAATAAAGTAAAAATCAAAAGACTTATATCAATTTCAAATTTACATATATATGTACTAGTACTCTATAAAAAAATATATTATTTAATATCATTGTATAGGTCCCTTCAAAAGTAACACAATTTAAAAAAATAAATTTTTCAGGAAAGGAAATACTGTTCTTAACTGTCCTAACTATTTTTTAACTTAACATAATAATTACCGATAATTACACAAGTTACAGTAAAAACGATTGGAAGTAATTTTTTAATTTAATTGTGAACCATATATATATTAAAAAATGACTATATTCGTGATTATAATCTGCTAGACTATAATCATGAATATAATTATTTTTACAAAACTTTTTTTTCTATATTAGAATAGAATATATTTATTTTTAATAAATTAATCTTTCAACATTACTTTGAAACGTTTGATCATAGTTTACATTCTGCTCCGTTGAGGGAAACAGCAGATATTGTATATGCAATTTTAACTCTATATTCTTCGTGTTAATTAATATTCGTATACTACGTTATACATAAGATTCAATTAATAACATTTTCAAGCAATTTTATGATACTTATCGATTAAAATGCTAAATCGAAATATATCTTCCATGAAAAGTTAGTATTTTAAAAAATTAATTCTTTCGCACAAAGTAAAATTTCTCTACCTTTGTCCTTATATTTTTTTGTAAAATTCTTCGCAACGAGCGAAAACCATGCAATGGAAACGGGAACAAAATTGACACGTAAATAATAATGTCCAATTAGAACGACGCAATCTTATCTCGCTAAGTAAACCAGGGGAACACCCGATTAAACACCGCAAACACGTCGTCCCTTATTTTTTCTCGCAGTTTTGTCGGAACTTTTTCAATTTTAAAGTTAAATCGCGATTCAACAAGATTTATACGCCCGCTAATGCAATATTTCCTTAGTCAAGAGGACGTCCGTCCAAAGTGCAGGACTATGAGCGATGAAGTGATATGTTCTTACCTTCTAGATTTGGCGGCATGTATATGAGTATCGCTTTAAATAAATCCGCTAATGCATTGAAAAAACTATTTTATCTCACAGAGATTTCATATTCAACAGTATCTTTGTTAAGACAAAATTAACAGTTATTAAAAACCTTGTTAAAAACTTTTATATTTGGTTATACAGTTATGGTAAAATGATGATGTTGAAATGATCGTCTTATATCTATTAATATTAAAGCTTATATCTGTTAATATTAAGAATGTTTGTTCTTAAAACATGCACCTGTTTGTGTACCTGTTTCAGTCAAATTTACTACACGTTTCCAGAGATTTTCCTTTCGTTCAATATTTCTACATTTGCGCATAATCCGTTGTGTATGGATAGTTCATGTAAAAACATGCAAATTTTCAAAAACGTAAATATGACGCACTGCCTCACCTACAACTCCTGTTCTCTTTGCAAGTCTCGGCTAGACTGTGACACGTTGGCATTTCGGCACCGTCTATGCGTTGCGCACAAGTTGGATGCATTTTCTCTTGCGCCACTATGCACTCGTCCTTTTTGTTGTCCGTTTTCCTGCAATGTGAAAAACATAGACGAGTATATAATAAGATTCAGGAAATTATTTAAAAAATTCTTTAAAGCACACTTTTATTTATACAGAAGTAAACTCCAACAAAGTTATGACTGTAATTCAAAACAAGAAATAATTGATGTTAAAAGAAAAATATCTTAACATAAAGTTTGCACTACACGTATAGATAACAGACATTAAAATTTACTTCAGATTTATTTATCGAATGAAGCAAGCATAACAAAACAAATATTAAAATTATCATTATAATATTTTGTAAAAATTATTTTATGTAGCATTAATGATTATATACCAATATTTTTAATAATAGCTTAATTAATTATTAATTAACTTTAGCTTCAGCTGAAAGAGCTAATCAGTTTTTTTGTATTGCATTGAAATATACGATATAGGAATGAAAATAATAATAATTAATTCATGACTTCATTTTTTGATTAATTTTTTAATTAATGCAATCCAAGTATTATAGTACTTAGAATTAGTGTTTTACCGAGAAACGGCAAACTGTGTGTTAATTATAGCATGATTGATAAAAGATGAATGTGGTGCATTCTCGTTCTTTTAATCAGACGCGTATTTTTTTTTATTTACCCGAGTTTTTTCCTATTCGCAGTCGTTCAGTTCTTATTTCAAAATATAAAAGAAGATTTTATGTAAAAGACTGCAACGAGGATTCGTGGGATAAGAATAAGATATGAAACGGAAGCGGAAAGTTTCCGCATTGTGTCGCAACCAAAAGCTACTTAAAAGTTAAAGTAGGCTCGTTAAAAAATACGAGCTTTTCGCGCAAGAGGAATATTACGGTTGCTTCGAAAATTTCATCGAAATTGTCATTGCGAGATCTCCACTCGCCTCTATTTCCCACTTGATATTTTGGAAAAATTTGTGCGTGCAATTTCTGCGAAATAATTTCTCTCAATTGTTATGAGCGTGAAGTAATTTTGCAAAAAAATGCAGTTATCATAATATGAGATTTAAATAATACGAAACAAAAGCTATTCGAGTCTTGCTAAGTGTCTTTTGCTTTAAACAATAGTCTCAATAACTAAAATAAACTTTAATTTTATATGTATATGATCATCTTAAATGATATAAAATAAATACTTAATAAAATAAAATAAATTAATAAAATAAATACTAAAATTATTACTGAGTTATCTAATGCAAGACATAAATAAATTCTATCTACTAACTTGGAACGCCTTTGAAGAGAGTAAACACCTAGAAATCATAAAGGGAATCTAAAATAGGACAAGTGGCCAACAAATTACTATTCAGATTACCGTTTTATTTTAGATAGGTAGATGACATTTTGTTGGCTGCTCTTGAAAATAAGTGAAAATATTTGAATAATATTCTAGATGTTTTGAATTTATTACAAGAACGTCTACAGTTTGCCATATATTAAAGTGAAAAATAATAATCAACTAAGTTTTTAAATATATTGTTGATAGGAGATATGGATACTATCATTTTTTATTTCTTCTTCATAAAATCACATTTTTGGGAAGATATTTGAATACCTACTCCAGCGAGACTTGAATAGCCATGTTTCATATTATTTTAATTTATTATTAATATAAGATTGGGTTGTATGCACAATGTGATGCTGTACGGATCGTAGTATTGCTTAATATTAAAAAAAATAGTTTAATAATCACGAAAGTCCCATTGTTCCCTCACATTCTTGAAATTAAGATCTTTGATTATTTTTATGCAAAATATACGAATATAAATTAATTCTTCCTTTTCGTATTTCTCATCTACTAATTTTCTATGATATTTACTAATCTTATTTTAAAAACAATTTCTCAATCTTTAATTTTATTGCAACCGATTAAAAAATTTATTAGCATAAGAGAAGACTAAATTCTTGTTTTATTTAAAATTTAAAAAAATATAGTAAATGTTACATTTAACTTGCTAATGTTCCTACTTGTCAAAATTTTAACCTGTATACATTATGAAAGTTTTTTTTATACATATAAAGAATATTAAAGATCGCGATGATAAGATATCAATGCATAGAAGAAATTGCGGCTTGTTATTACGTCAACTTAGTTTCTCATAATGCACCAAGAACAATTGGTTGCAATCATGCGTCCCCTCCATTCTTTATTCATCTCTGCAATTCTCTGCCGCATTGTGCGCATTATTACTTCCATCCGAGTTCAGCTGAATGCATGACGCAGAGATCCATCGGGAACATGATCTGGCATTTCTGTCAGTTAAACGTGTTTTCTTTTTCGTTATATCGGTATGGTTCGGCTGCGCTTAATGCCGGATGCAATGTAACGGGCACTACTCGGCCATATGTATCGCGGGGCACGCATTGTTTTGCGTAGCGATTCGAAGCTCCGGCTTCAATTGCCTGATATGCAGAATTTTGAAAAATTTTTCGCCGGCGCGAATGTGTGCGAACGTAATTAGAATGCGAGTTAACAACGCGTCCTTCGATTAATTCCAAATTAATTTACGACGGCGCCGACAGTTGATTCGTCATCTCGCGCTTGCAGCTGCGCCACTACTGTTACAATAATCTGTTATTAATTCACGTTGCGTCGTGCATTGTGTCGCGGCATAGTCGCTTGCATAGCGTCTGCGTTAATATTTTAATGTAACTTTCTCACGACAATGCACAGCTAATTAAACATTCAATGCCGATAGAACGCAATCGAAAAGAGCAATCGTTCCAGTATAGTTATGTCGATAAAAATCTTTCTGCTGAAAAGAACGCTCTTAGCGAGAGATATGAAGCATGCAATAAACTTTCAAAACGATAAAGTATACTTTATAGCGATATGTGGTAATCATAAAAAAGAAAAAATGAAAAGCCCATGTAAGTCTATCTATTAAATAAAAGTTTTATTGTGTGTGTGTGTGTGTGTCGCGTGTGCGTGTGTGCGTGTGTGCGTGTGTAAAGAAAATATAACAAAGTAAGAAAAGAAATTATATAGCTGAACAAGTTATACAATGAACCTATTAATATCAGAAATGTAATAGCAGTAATTTACAAGATTTTGTACAAGAGCATACGAACTGTTCCTAAAGTAGTAATTTTCTAATTCAAGCTTAAATTTGACAAATATTTCCACTAAGTTTGGTTTTAGAGATCTAAGAAAAGACATTTCTTCTAATAGATATATGTATATATAGTAAAGTTTTTTGTTAAAATTAAAAAAAAATCAAAGTAATAAGAAAAGCACATAAAAGTCAATATAAGATAGACGTATGTTACAAAATTTATTACATAAAAATGAAGTATAAAGTTTAAATTCTCGATTAGAGTACTCTTTAGTATATACATTTATATAATTCAAAATTAACAATTCACTAAGATAAGGACATATAAATAGAAAGTTAAATTAAAACATTTTTTTTTATAAGATATGTTTAGGAAAAAATTAAAAGTGTTACGTGTTTTTGTTTTATACAACTTTGTCGATTAAAGCCTATCAGTAATCGCTTAGGATGTTTTTATTTCAATATACTCTTGGAATGACATTTTTTAATTATAATTATTATTCTGATCGGAAAGAAATGCTACATTAAAAACTAATGTGCTATATTTAAAAATTGACTTGCTATCTTAAAAATTCGATCTAATGGAATTTTTCTAGCCATAGATTCGAACTCAAAATACATTTTAAAAAATCGTTTCCTTTTCTTGCATTAAAAATTATTTAAAATTTGTAAATTAGTGTGATAATAGAATTAATCCTTTAGTTACTACGTGCCATTACATAATAGTTTCCTTTTAATTTATTCTTTGAAATGAAACGCCCCTCTAATAGCTTCTCTAATAAAGATCTTTTGAGACAAAACGCCACTGTAATAGCTCTTTTATACTTATAAATGCTCTATTATGCCTCGATATCTTGCCGCTGTTAAATAAGAATATGTTCTCAATCATTTTGATCTACATTTGTTTCATCGAAAAGACGTTCACGTTTCTTAATCGAATTCCGAACTGTACGTATACAGAGATACGGAACCACGTCCAACTTAACTGTGTAATCAAAGGGCTAAAAAGCATTGCTATCTATTTGATTAACCTGCAAAGGCAGAAGGCAATTTCCACGGAATGCTTGTGATTGGCGGTCTTGTAGAAATGCTGTAACGCTTCCATGCACTCGTTCCTCGCGCACGTCGTCGAGTCGCAGTGGTTCAGAACAGGTTCCAGCAGATTCTTGCATTCCGGATCGTTTCTGAGTAAACAAAAACGTTCCACGTATACTTTATCTCGTCTGCAATGACTGGTCTTAGTTACTACAACGAAAATTTGCGAACTTACTTGCAGGACGTGTAAGCATGATGGCACGTGCTGGATAAGATCAGTTTCACCGGCTGTTGTATCTTATCGATGTCTGACGTAGAGGACGGTGGCTCCATACCCGCCTCTGCGAAACAAGCAACGTGTCAATGAATGGAAACTGCTGATCTAATTGTTTATAATTAGAGACAATCTGCGATTTAATTTTTAAAAGATCGCAGAGAAGTTATAATATTTTTGATAATAAAAAAGAAATACTCTTTTAATTTACACAAAAAATTCAGTATTTAAAAATTTTTGAAGTGTTAAATCTAGGTGCAAAATTAGAAATAATAAATTGAGTATGACATGCTACATTATTATCCAGGAATTTTTAAAAGTAATTATCATTACTTGTTATCAAGTTAAAAAAATTATTTATTAATTACTAATTTACTTAAGTAATTCGTTATCATTACCGTTACTCACAAAGTAACGATTCGTTATTCTACTATTACTTTTTAAATATTGAAACAAGATTAATCTACAAATTTTGTCATATTTTTTGTTAAAATGTTTGTAAAGACAGTAAATAATGACACTATATGACATTGATACGTTAAAACATAACTGAAAAAAGAAATGCTTTTCCAGTCCGAGCTAGAACTTTGTGTATAATAATATTTCAGAATGAATTTATATACTAGCTAGTTCTAGGCAATTTTGATTTTAAAACGCAATCCGACTAAAGTGATATTTTTTATTAGGTGTTGGAATTAATTCGTAGCGGTTTACAAGTTATGGGAAGTACTTTCATTAATGTATTTTTTAATGCTCATGTGAAATAAATAACATTCTTTCATTAAAAAACGCTACGAATTAATTCCAACACCTAATACAATAATGGTCTATCCTTTATTTCTGCACTTTCTGAACTTGTGCAATAAGTTGAAGTGAAACAAACGTATATTTATTTCGCTTCAACTTATTGCACCGCATGCACCAGAGAATGCGGGAATAAAGGACAAACCTTAAATCCTTTATCACGTGACATTACTTTCGTAAAACTTAAACGATGGTATCCAGTAAAATTTGTTCCTATATTAATACTGTATTGTGATTCGTTTTTAGATGTCATAAACAAATCACAGAGCCATATTAACATCTTAAAACATTACTTAAAACAATTTTCAAGTAAGAACGAATTATGAATACTGACCAAAGATTGAAGATTAAGAATATACAAAGATTATAAATAGATTTAAAAGATAAATTGTCATAAATAGGTTTAAAATATAAAAACTAACAATAAAAGTAATTGTAAAACTCGTTACAGTTACAAAAAAAGATAATGTCTTTATCAATCCGTTACAAGAAAATAACGATGTTACAAGTAACGAATTACTTTCAATCTCTAATTTTTTCGAGTAAAATTTTCTTCGGAGAGGACGTTTTGGAATGTAGTCTAGATATACATTTTCTGATGTTTTTCCATCTCAACAAATTGAAAAGAGGAAAGTCCGCGTGATGAGTTAGAAATAAACTTGACATTCAGAAGAAGATACGATCGCAGGATCTAATTTATCTCGACTCATGATGACAATGTCATGACGACATGTGGTCAATGTTTTATTTTAATAATTAAATATGCGTTTAAAAATAACTAACGTAAAATATTCATTGTAACCAGCGAAACTTTTTCAATTAACGTCATGTAATGCAATTGTATATCAGACATTTCGCATTTGATAAAGTGAAAAACATCATTTATCATAAATATATCTATTGTTTTACGCACGATGTTGAAGGTTTTTCCAGCACAAATTGAAACGCAAGCTTCTATCTACTATCGATTGATGCATCGAGGGATGCGTGTAACGTTCTTTCTTTCTCGAAAGTGATCGATATCGGCATAGTTAAATATGGCACCTTGAGTTTCACCTGTTCTTATCCATAATGCACTGTTTACACAGTCACAAGGGAGACCCACTTTTTCTTGCCGGAGAATACAAATAAATGATAAATCATCAACGTCACACCGACGGCGTCGACGCACTGTAAAGCGATACTTATCGTTTCCTTTTTATTTCCAACTCCATAAGAATTATGAATTCATATCAGGACAAACAGGCAATTTTTTATCATCATTTAAATGCAACGTTATTAAACCTTAAACTTTAGATTGAATTTGTTTGAATTCTAAGATATTTTGTATCGAATCTTATTATGCATTTACATCAATTTTAAGTAGACATGTATTTCCTGTAAACTCTAAAAAATTAATCGTGATACTAAATATTCTCTCAAAGAAAACAATGAGCTATCACGAAAATCCTTGTTAAAAATATCTAGTTCTGTAACAAACTCGAATTTGACAAGCGATTGTCCGAGGGATGGATACCCGATGACAAATGATCGCCATCATTAACCAACATCTTCTTTTCGATTGATGGACTCCGCTGACGAGGTTAACGATTGCGGGGAGTATCCGTGAATATCGAGAAGGAAGAATGAGACTACCTTTTTGGTACGAAGGAAAAAAAGGGTCTAGTAAAGGTCATTCCCCATGAGAAAAGCCGCTTCACCAGATGACTGGCCATAAGTCAACCACCATAAAGAGCGTGGCTTCGACGCATTTTATTAAGACAAACGAGCGGCCGCCTCTCTTGCATCCCTTTAGAGGCCTTTAATCGCACTGAATCGTTTGTGAGTTATCTGTATGCGTGTTTGTTTCGCTATGGAAAAAGAGAAGTCAATGGTTGTTTAAAGTTTTAATAAAAGCACAGAAATAAAAGCAGGCTATATGTATGTATAAATATGTATGTATCTATATATACTTAGTGACCAATCTTTCTAAATTAGGAAAGAGTTCCAAATTTTAACTCTTCGTCCCACTTTACATGTCCCAAATTTATTAAAATTATTCCTTTTTGAATGTAAAAATAATAAATGTAAAATGTAAAATAAGTAAAAATAAAAAGCGAAAATAATAAGTGTGAAATACAATTATTAATTAATATGTGAAGAATTTTATGATTTTTTATTTAAAAATACAGATATTACTGATAAAATACATATTTAGAAAAAAAAACAATTTTAAAAAGTAAAATCTTGTAACTTGACGTAATTTTTGTTGTGATCTCATGTGATGTTGTACATTATGTATTATTTATAAATATAATATTACTTATATGTATTCGTGCTTATGTGTATCGTTAACAATTATTTAAAAATTAAAATGACCTAAATAAGATTTAGAATTTGATAGAAAGAATAAAAACCATAATGAGCCGATGCAAGTATAAGTGCACAAAAATAATAGTTTATTCATATTGGTAAACGTTTTGATTATTTTTTGGGTTTTTCTCTATAAAAAAAAAACAAAAAAACTGAATATTATAAATAATCTAACGAAAAGCAAACAGGGATAATGTTATAAAAGGAACAAATTTTAAATGCTAGTAAAATCGTCATCAACAGTATGTATGTAATGTGATATCGATTTGTCGGTTTCATAATAATTAAGAACGTAACTAGTTGAAACTAAAATTTAATATCAGTTAAATAATGTGCTAGCACTGCTAGCCAAGTCTCAATCATATTCCAAAGAAGTAATAAAATCAGAATGTGTTTAAAATTTAATTTTTGATCGAGCCAAGAGACTGGCATAAGGTCAGATATTCTCGTTTTATCCTTCTTGACGATATGTCACAGTCTCTTGGCTTGATCAAAAATTAAATTTTAATTTTAATTTAACTTTTAAAAAGTAACTTTCCATTCCGTGCTTATACAACGTCCGTCGAATCGTTTCTTTATATGCGCGCAGTTAAAGCAAAATAAAAATAATTTTATAACTGTAACTGATAATCTATAATCACACATTCTAATTCGGTATTTAAATAGTATTGTTCGCAAACTTAAATGCAATCATTTAGAATTATAAGGAACATATACGCATAACGACAAATAACAAGGAATCGCAAGAATAATATTTGGTGTGCGAAGAAGATTTAACAAAAATTCGAGAGAAATGAGTTTATTATAGGAATTAAAAAAGAGATAACAAATGTGACGGTTTAGTAGGAAAATGGATTGATCAATTACTATTGCGAATAATTTTTCATTACTCTTTAATGTAATAAATAATCGAATTTATTTCTTTTTAAACTGCTTTATTTCTTGCTTCATGAGCATTTTCTTTATTACACACACCTTAACACACTTAACACACTTAAACATCTACGCTTCTCTTAAATTAAAATATTTTAAAACCAATCTTTATTTTTATTAATAGATTCATTTTGGTATAACTCTAATATATTATATTAAACTAATAATGACAAATTTAAATCAATATTAAACGATTTTTTTCTTCATTTTTTAAAAATATTAAATAATATTTAATATTTTATTAAATATTAATAAAAATTGAAGGGAAGAAGAAAAAAATATTAAACCATCATAAATAATCGAAGTCTGACAAGATTAAAATGATTCTAAATACTATAAAAACATAAATCGAAAAGCACTTAAGAATTTTCTATATACAACATCGATATCGCAGATTAGATACGATCGACGATTATATAATACATAGAAAGACAATAACAATTTCAAGCAGCAGTAACTGGAACTTATGTCACACTGGCTTCTCGAGATCGATGTCGAGCTCGTCTTTGCATCGCGAAATATATCGGTCAGGTGAAGACCTCTTCAGTGACACAGGTGTGCGGATGCAGAAACTTGCTCGGTAAGTCGTTAGACTCTCAAACCAACGAGATCATTTGCTCATGGAAAATGGAAAACGGCTAAAACGCCACAAGTGAAACACGTACTTATTCTAAGCACAGCACTTAAACTGTAAATGGTGTCAAATACTCAGCTAGTAATGTAGATTGATCAATTAAAGTCGAATCAACGTCAATCGATGTTGAATCAGTATCGATTAAACATTGATTGACCAATTTCTGACTAGGTAGAGAGCTCTCTTTTTTTCGTTTCTTTTGTAAAAAGAAACTTTATTAAAAATGAAAAATTTAATTTAAAAATCGTTAAGTAATATATAACTTATACAGTTAATATTAAAAACATAAACTGATTAATCGATAACAATTTGATTTTTATGTGTCAATCATCTTAAATCAAAGA